AGACTTGTACCTAGGTTTTATGGGTCTAGACTTGTAGGTAGATTAGAGTTTTTTATTTTTGATAAATTTTATGTTTCTGTGAAGGCTGAGATTTTTGGTGTTATCGCTATTTATATGTAATTTTTATATTCTCTAAGATAAATAGAGAATTAGCGCCAGCTTTTCGAGAAAATATTAGTAGAATTTAAAAAATATTCGATATTTCTGAAATTTCCTAATTGGAAGTAAAGCTATTGCCATTTTCATAGGCTCTAATATATCAAACAATAAAATACAGACACTTATCAAACACTTAAATAACAATTTTCGTAATAAGTTGCAGAAAGTAAATACAAATTTCATTATTTCTGTAGGCTTTGAAAATTGGTCATATTTAATAACTGGATTATGCAACCCTAATTCAATTCAAATTGGCCACCCAGCAGACAGTTTAGCAACGATAGTGGGTTTGCAAACGCTTATTAATGAAGAAGTACCTTATCCAGGTCATGAATATGCAAGATACGGAGTAATAAATAAATTCACTTAGTAAAAAGGTTTTAAAATAGAGTAATCAATGTTGTAAGAAATTATTTTATTTATCAAGTAAGGGATGATTGTGAAATATTTACTTATGAGTAAAAATAACAGACATTTTTAAATAAAAGCTTTAAAATCTATACTGAAATCTCTCAGCCAATTTCTATTTAATAATTGGATTAGGCAACCTTAATTAAATTTAAATAGGCCACCCAGAAGACAGTTTAGCAACAATAGCAACGCTTATTATTGGAGAAGTACCTTACTCAGGTAAAGGAGAGTGGACTAGATGCCCAGGTCCTCTGAGTCATTCCTAAAAAGGACTGAGGCGGAACTAGAGTGGGCGAGGGGAAGTTATGTTTTCCTTAAAGTGAATCTATAATTCCTTGGAGGATACCGAGAAATTTATTTTGAAGCCGTGACTAAAATACACTTAGGGGGACATGAATATTCAAGAGTCGGAGTAATAAATAAACTCGCTTAGTAAAAAGCTTTTAAAATAGACTAATTACTGTTCTAGGTACTTATTTTATTTATCAACAGGTTGTAGCGGAACATTTACTCATGAGCGAAAAATAGCAGACATTTTAAACTAAATGATTCTATGATTATTATAAATTTCATTAATGAATTATATATAAGAAAACCAATTGTCGTTGATAGCCCATGATAGTCGAAGCGGCGTTAAAAACAGAATAAAAAAAAAAAAAAAATGATAATAGGGTTATGAAAAACAAAAATAAATAAATGAATGAATTTATTTCCGCTGTTTCTAATAATATCTGGAAAACGAGTAAACCAAAAAATGAAAAAATACCAATTCACCTGAATACCTAAACAAACAAAACTCATTTTTAGTTTATTATTAATTTGTTTTGACCTTTGGTCAATTTATTACAATATCGATTTTTTTCGATTTTGGGAGTAAAGTGGGTTAAAATAGTTTTTTGAGGAGTAACCAAGTTGATATTCGTATTTCGTATCTCGAAAACCTCCCATATACGAATTTTCATAATTAACGTAAAATATTTTTTTTCTCAAACTTCAAGCCAAAGGTGGATGGAGTTTTTTTTTTTTGAAAATCACATTTTTGTGAAAACTTCAACATGGCTCAACTCTCGTTACTAACCCGAAACTTATCATGGATTTAGCGAACTAGCCCAGACAAATCAGACATGTTACAAGCAAAAGGTCGGGTGATTCAAATTTCTTTTTTATACTGTTAGGTGTGCTAAGAGTAAATGGCTCATTATTTTCAAAAAAAAGCTTCAAATTCTCTTAACAAGGTTCAAAATGGAGTTGCATAATTCTTCTGTTCAAAAGAGAAAGATAAATCGAAACAGATAAATTTTTAAATCTCAATAGTTCGCTTCCTTTTGGGTTTAGAAAAAATTTTTAGATAATTTTAAGCTGTTTAAGATTTAATATGACTATTTTTTATCTATGTTCCTTTAGAAAGAAGATATTTAGCGTAAACCAAACAAGGTTCGAAATTTCGATGGATTTTAGAGGACTGCAGCGGATCCACAAGGCTTTCAATGGCGGAAGCTTGGATTTTTTATAGTCACTGCATTACTAACAATATAAAAAAGAAGTTTGAATTACTCGACCTTTTGCAAGCTAGACCCATTTTTTTATGCCAATTTGATTGGGCTACCCTAAATACTCCACGAAATAATGCAAACCAGACCCCCAAAACAAATTAGGACTATAGATGTAAATAGGCACATCTACTTTATTTATTCCTTTTGTAGGCATAAAATCTAAAAGTCATTGATATTGTTTAGAAGAGATGTCTCTATCTAATTATATAATGCAGCTTTCAAACGGTTGTACTATCCTCGAATAGGAGAAAATCGTAAGGAGTTATGAATGCTTTAGTAAACGAGAAAAATAAAAAACTCTCTTAAAATTAATAGATTTAAAACATTTGTATTTAAGCCTTAAACGAATTTTCTATTACAAAAATTTACTTGGTATATTTTACACGAAACGTCTTTTGATTTTTATAATTTATTATACACATTTGAATTCGTTTACTTATCTCATCAACATAGCATCCTTACTTTCCTTACTAAAAATCAAACGGATATGTTGTATATAATAACCTAGAAATTCACTCAGAGCAAGGAAACAGTTTAATCAAACAATAAAAATGTATAATTTTTTTTTTCAGTTCAGCTGTTTCAGCTGCACATTAGCAAGAGCACTCGGGAATAGATCTAATATTTTTTGAGTATTATCAACAAAAAAAAGTTTTATTAAAATCGGTGACTCCACATCCGTAACCTTCCCTTATAAGATTTATGGAAAGTGATCCCGAAATCTGCAGCTACGTAATTTTTTTCCATACGAGGTCAATGAACGGAATTTTTTCTGACTAAGATAACTTAAATCGCAAGATTTTGAAAAATGAACTTAATGAATTTGATTTACTCGTCAGTTCTATTTATAATTTGAAATCAAAATTAACTCGACCGATTGCTTTAGATCAAGCGATGGATCAATATGGTATTCAATTTTGACTTCAATTTAAATTCTATTTTCGTCAGCTGCCATTTTACATTGTTAAATACTATAATTAATTTAAATACGTTAAGTCGTGTAGGTCATTGATACTTCATATACTAATTGGCTTATATTTGTGAGCTTGTTTGGCTCAAATATTTTCATTAGGCATTAAAAACTCCGTTTTATTCTCTCTTACTATTAAAAATTAAATAATTACTCTAGTTTATTAAATATTTGTTGATAATGGAAATCAATACTGATACTAATTTATCTAAAAAATCTATGCAGCCAAAATGGTTAACATGGAGCTAACAACAAAATAAGCCAAGTTGAATCAGGAATGCAACTCCCTGTAAGTAATTGCCATTCGGGATTAAATAACAACCAATCATGTCGAGATGTTTGAACAGATATTTTCGTAACATGGCAGAGGCGTATTTTGACAATCTAGAAAACAAATTATGCAATACGGAATAAAAATTGGTTGCCTACGTTATATTACGTCCTCCAAAAGGATTTCAATCATGGGCACAAAGAAAGGATTCTCCCAGAATCAATGACAGGATTGACCGATCATTACCCAATTGAATTGTAGGTTCAAACTTCAAAAGTTCAATCTGGTTAAAAATAGAAACTGAAAAAAAAATAATGAAAGAAATTATAATATAGTTATAATAATTCTAACATTTTTTTCAAATTAATTTAAAAAAAAAGGAAAAAGAAAAGCTACTTTGATTTTTACTATAATAAAACAATTTTAACGTTTATCTTCTTTCTCTCTATTTATATATATTTTACTCAATATTAGTAGATCATTTCAATATTAATCATAATAATAGTTACACTCCGAGCGAAAATGTAGTACCTTGTTGTATTTAAGCATAGCTAAAAAACATAAAATTCTCTTACTGGTTTTCAAATGGCGAAGATAAATTTAAATGTTGCAAAGAACAGCTGTACTAATTATTTTATTTATTAATACAACAGTAATTAAAAGAGACCTATATCGTGAATTTTCATTCACATAAGTGATAAAGCAGTGCACCATCTTGCACATCTAGTCATACGTCTAATCTTGCATTCTGTTGTGTACTGTGCAGAATGATCTTTTTTTTTTTTCGCTGCCTTTTGAAAAATGCGATACAAAGATTTTAAGAAAGTTTTAGAAACTATATTTCAGAAAATCTTTTGAATAACGACTCAAAACATTATTTAAAAAATTTATCAATGAAATGAAATAATTTTAATTAAACTTTAATTAACGAATTTATTATTAAATAAGAAGATTATATTTTTAGTGAATATCGTTTATATTATTAAATCGGGCGTGAGTATCAAATAATCGTGAAAAAAAAGAATAACCTTAAAAATAAAAACAATTAGAATTTTTTCAAATTTCTAAAATTTAATATGTATTATTTGAACTAAAGAAAAAATGCACTGAATAGTGTTTCAAAAACAAAATAAATCTTGGCAATAAAAAAAAAAATGGAAGATGTTAAATTTTAAAATTTTGATCTAATTAATAAAAACAATAAAAAAATATTTAGGGTAGAATTAAAAATGTTCACAGTTCTTTACCTGTCAGCGAATTGTTATTGTTAACTATGATTAACACTATTAAAAAGATTAACAATAGGTTTATTACTCAAAGCCATTAAGTGACATTTCATAACCTTAGAAAAAGATCACTAAGAACTTACATGAATTTTCCTTTTGTGACATTAAAAAATTGTACGCATGATGGAACTTCATATTTCATACAAAACGGTTTGTGTAATTTTAGTAGGCTTATTGTGTTTTTTATCGATAGCCACAAACGTTAAAATTCACAAATACATTGTTAAATGTTCGGCTCCATCACGAATGTACATAGTGACTGTTCACAGTAAACCGAGTTATTCCTATACTTTTATTAGTCATGTACTAGTTATTATTGACGATATAAAACATTTGAAAAAATACAATACCTTCATAGTAGTGTGGACTTAAACTGGACTCAGGACACTATGTGTGTGTGTTGTTATATACTGAGAAGAGGGGGTACGCGGGGGCCCAAGGACCGAACCCACGTACTTTTCTGGAAACATCAAAAAGAAAACCACCCCGACCATGGTATTGCTTGTAATGCGAATCCATGAAATGATGGGGTCATCCTAAAAATAGAACGAGCTTATTTATGAGACAATCTTATTCAAAGCTGAGATAAGTTAGTATTGAATACCAACGCTACCAGAAATATAGGAAGATACAAGACCAATTTCACTCCCAGAATTTAATAAATATTTTTCTATAGCTACTTTTATCTGATTTTTTATAAAAATCGACTAAAAAATTCGCTTACTTTTATTTTTCAATAAACCTAAAATATTGAGTACTTTGTACTCTGTGTTATATACGAACATTATACAGTCTCTCACTTCTATCTAATAATTAAGTAAATTTTAAAAGAAACAAATAATTCTAGAAATATCCTTAATACAGAAAATATTTTACTTTTTACATTTTTTAAAAAATGTCTATTAAACGTCTAACTGAATAAAAATTACAATAACTAAATATCAGTTCAAGCATTTGAAACTATTAAAAATAGAAATTTAGAAAACCGTCTTAAATTCATTAAAATTTTAAGAAAATATACTTCTGAGAAGTATAAGAAGAGAGAAGAAGAGATATTTCTGGTACAATAAGACCAGAAACATATTTTCGTAATGTTTTTTTTTTATATGTGATAAATAATTATAATATATTATAATAGTGGTTAAATAGTTCACTGTCGTGAATAATGAGAAGAAGAATAGTTGGGGTGATCAGTCAAATAAGATCAGTCATTTCATTTCATTTCATTTCATTCCTTTTCTCTGTTTTAACTCTTTATTATATCATACTTTGTCTGTACATCTACTTATATATGATAGACTTTACTACATCTCAATTTTCTATCTAAATATTCTATTCACAATATCTCAATTTTACTATTTATTTCCATTTCTTATATAACTTCATATTTTTCTCTTTTACATTTTATTCTAAGATTCCCTTTACAATACTTACGTCACCTTTTTGACTATGTTTACTTCATCATTCCACACTTTGTACCTGGTATTATTATTTGTATCTTGTTCTTACTATTGTCATTATTCTAACAACTGCATTTTACTGTAATTTGTATGTTTCTCATACCTTTTTATCTGGTTCTTGTCTTAGCCCTGATGATGGCCTCAACTTCAGATCGAAACGTCGGCAAATATTATCATTTATTTTGCCTTCTTATTTGACTCATCACCCCAACTATTCTTCTTCTCATTATAATATATTATGTTATTATGTATTATTCGACTTCCGTACTGTGTGTTCTAGGAGCCCAATATATCTCTTAACGTTGTTGATTAAATAATTATAATAGATCATACATTTTTAATTGATAGGTTTCACAGATTTTTAGTACTTTTTTTTTGTCAAAATAGTCTAGGCAGACTAAAATCATTTTGTCGAGATTAAAATTCACTCAAAATTCAGCAATATAAAAACAACTGAGCCTAGGATTATGTATATACGTCGGCTCCTTGTGCTGTGCGCCGGTTTAGCAAGCACCTCGTTAATGACTCATTCATTACCAAGTCCAGTCAGTTAGTACAAGCCCATTCCTATCTCTATGACGTTACATGAATGGTAATTGCCTGAGAATGTTCCTTATAGTTAAGCCATATCTGAGCAGAGGTCAGATTAATTATCAAACGCACATATTTGCTTCCTCATCATTGTTATTTTTAAATATTTAGGTTGTTCTTCATTTATGTAAAATATTACATCCTGCATCCGTAAAAGGTAATAAGTATCAAAATCATATTGATTCTAACGTTCAGGATTTATGGTACTGGTCGGTAATGATGGAAAGGATACTTTTAAAATAGGAGGGACGATTTTTAACAAATTATAGTTTATGCCGATGATTTGGATGCCGCAGTTTTCTGAGTATGGAGAGCGCCCCCGTAAATCTACAAAAAGCCGCATCTAAAGTTATATCGCAGATAAACGAGTCCAAAATAAAATATATCGACAGCCACACTGCAAAAGCCTGTAAGGACAATTTCTATGGAAAATGAGGTTTTTAAATTTTCTGGTTCTGGAGCATATTCTGATCTCATGAAATGAAATCTACGATGTTTCATTTCTTCTCTATGGTATTTTGTAGAAACCTGTAATTTAAAAACCAGGGAATGGTGGTGTAAAAAACTGTAAGTTACAGTGAAGGTTATTGAAATTGAGTTGTTACCGAAAAAAACTTAATGAAATGCTCGATGAAAAGTGGTAATGTAAATACATATTTAATAGTTGACCGTTGCATTATTAAGGAAGGAGATGGTGTCATAAGGAAGGGGTGGCTGTCATAAGTAGACTAAATAATGTCAAAACTATTTTATTAAAAGCCAACGTTAAGTTACTAAATATTTAAAACAAGTACTTAATGTTTATAATTTTAATAAGTTTATTTACATTGTTTATAATTATTTGTCTAAAAATTATCTTACTTCCATAATTTTCTGTATCTTTTTGTATCTTGACCGTTCTAGCCCTGAAGAAGACCTGAAAAATCGGGTCGAAACGTTGGCTTTTAATAAAAATAGTTTTTATTTTGCCACTATTTAGTCTATTTATGACCGCCACCCCAGACCATCTCCTTTGCAAATACAAATTGTATAAAGCGCTTTGTGCATAGACTACAGTATCGATTAGCTTTATTATAATTATAAGCTAAGATTAATTTTTTTCATACGCTTTGTATTCTTTTTTAAAATTTTTAATAAGTGGTGGGCACTTCCAGCCCGGCATCCCAGGGCAAATGCTCGGGTTCTCCTGCTCTGATGCAGGCACTGCTCGCTTTAAAAACAATTCATCTCTCAATTTCCCGATTGTGAAGTAAAATTAAGGAAGTTGACTTGGAATATTATAGATATTTCCAAATATTTTTAAAAAGGTTCTTATTCAAGTATGTATACACTGTGCCTCATTCAAATAGTTAAGTCTTAATGAGTAGCGTATAGATAGGCAGTCATATTTTCCACAACTGTTGTGAACTTCTTTCTACTGAATTTCTTACTTTTGAAACCATACTATGGCAGATATTTAACAATAAAACAGTGCAAAAAATGCAATAAGAAACAAAATAAACAAAAAAGGAAATAGACTTTCGAAAAGTTGAACTACAAAAGAAAAATCATTATTTTTTTTTCTCCCTGCTCTACTAAATAATAATACTATTATGACTACTTGTTACATAGTTATGCTATTATTTTATCTAATTATCTGCATCTGTTAACAGTTTTTCGACAAGTAGAAAATGGGATGATAATAATTCCTTGTCAGGTATGGGGCTATTAGAATTAAAAATAAAAATATTGAGTGGTTTATTACATTTTGATATATTAAAAAAATAATAATAATTATTGGTCTGTATCAATGAATGGAATTATGTAAAAACCATTAGAAAATTATCCTAATAAAAATAATTTGTTGATTTTGCATATATGGTTACTATCTTCTTTTTAAGTCAAATCCTTGACCCTCGTGTTTAATATTACAAGGGTAGAATTAACTGTTCTTTGAATTAGCCAATCGATCACCAATAGGTTAGGAGAGAAGAGCTCCTCGGAATTTCCAGATCCATTAATTCTTAGCAATCCTGTAATTTCAATTTCACGTGAAATTCAAGACAAACGGCCACTTTTGTATTAACGACCGCTTCGTCTCTATCAGTAATTGGAAGCTTCAGAGGGTCATTCCTTATATTTTAGTCAAATGGACGTAACATAATAATTATATAGAAGTATCAGCAATCTGATTGACTATTCGAAATCCATCTCATGATTTAGAAACCTTCTGAGCGACTGGATAGGATTTTCGAAACATGTATGTTTTATAGAGGAAGACTCAATATACTGACCAAATCCGGCCAACTCCTTAATTAATAACCGTTGCACATTGGTGCCAGTAACCTAAATTTGGGGCATAAATTAGTATAAAGAATTTTTACAGTAAATTATCACTTAAATGATGTTAAAATGGTCTATACAATAATTTAAAACCTTTGTTATATCAGTTAAAATCTGGGAAGGATAAAAAAAATAGACATTATTCTCTAAAAAATAAATAAACCTATATGGCTGTTTTATTGTAATTTTTTTTTTTTTTTTTTTTGGTTTTAAGACTTGTCAAAGCAATTTCTATTTTGCTTCTATTACAATTAATAAGGCCGACAAAAACAGAAATTTTCCTTTTTACATAGAACTTAAACCACGGCAATTAGTTATGTTATTAAACTGCTTCTCCACGTCACACACGGGGACGAGCTAACGCTGAGAGAAAAAACAAAAGTTAAAATTTTGAATTTGTATTGCATTAGTGACAAACTAATATCGTTTCATCTTCATGTCTAGCAATTTTTACTTAATTGTCGAATTAATAATACCCTGGTATAGGATAATAGTAGGAGAAATTAAAACCATCTTTTTTATATTTATAGCTGGTTTATAAGTATTTTTTTGCTCAAATCTAACGGTATGTGCTGGGCAGGATTAGGTACTTTAGTGAATCCTAAGATAGCTGAAACATTGGTTTTTAAAAATATACATAGTTGTTATGACGTTTCAGACAAATGTGAACAATATTGGTCCAATTCGCAAATATCCCTAAAATTAGATAGACCCTAATGTAAATACAGGTTTAAACTTAAAAAAATATTTTTCAGTAATTGTCCCGTCCGGCCACCCTGAAAGTTATTAAGGATTTAATAAGCGGGAACGTAGAATTTAGAGTGACTTCCATTATTTTTTAATTATTTCATTTTTGTTAACCACGTATTCGAGCTACTATCAACCCAGTTTTTATTACTAAATAATATCTAAATTGTTTATTTCTCTATTATTATTTATTTCTCTATTATTAATTTATTTCTCTATTATTATTTATTTCTCTATTATTAATTTATTTCTCTATTGTTATTTAT